AGGGTCTTTGGGAGTCTCTGAAGGTCTCTAAATATCTCTGAGGGTCTTGGGGACGTGTGAGGTTTTCCGGATGTTTCTGAGTGTCTCTCGGTGTCTCTGCACGCCTCTGGTGGTCTCTGAGTGTTTGTGAGGGTCTCCTGGCATCTCTGAGTATCCCTGGGCGGGGTGGACTGGTGTCTGTCTGGGGCCATCTCTGGTGGCTGCCTGAGGGTCTTTGTGTGGACTGGCTGGCCCTGCCTGGGACTCAAGCCCGGGACGGTTTGAGGTACATCATGGGGCAGCAGAGGGACCCCAGGGAGGTGGCCTCTGAAAGTTCCAGGCTCCCTTCGGGCAGGGAGGGACTGGTGGAGACTTGAGCTGCCCCCATTCTCAGAAACCTGGGTGTAGCCAGCTGGGGCTGTGTCAGGAAGGTCCAGACCCCAAGACTCCCAGACCTCTGGATCCCAAGACCCCAGGATCCCCAGGACACCCAGACCCCAGAACTCTCATATCCTAAGACCCTCAGACCCCAGGACTTCAAACTCCAGGGCCCGCAGACTCCAGGACCCCCAGATCCCACGATTCCCAGACCTCTGGATCCCCAGATTTTAGAACCACCAGACCCCTGGGACCCCAGCCCCAAGACTGTCAGACCTCTGAATCCCCAGGTCCTGAACTCCCACCATGTCCCCACCAAACCTCCATATCCCAAGATCCCTAGACCCTAGGACTCCCAGACCTCTGGATCCCCAGACTTCAGAGCCCTCAAATCTCAGGACCCCCTCCAGAACCCAGACTGTCAGACTCCAAGACACCAGCCTCTCCAGGCCAACCTCCAAAACTCGCTATCCCGGACCCCAGGCCTGCCTGCCCCCACCACCTGCAGCCTCGGATCTGGCACTTCCTCATTTCTTCATTTCCTTCTTTTCTAAGTGGTGTCGGAAGTGGACTCCCCTAGTAACCTCCCGGGGCGCGGAGGGCGTGCAGCTGCGCGGGGCTCGCTGCTGCCTGGGCTCCTCCATCCCTCTGGTCTTTAGAGGCCCCAAGAGCTCCCCTGCTCCCTCTGCCTACCGCAGACACGGTGAGACGAGGTCATCTGCAAACCAGGAAGCGATTCTGCTGGAGCCTTGATCTTGAACTTCCCCGGCTTCCGGAACTGTGAGGAATCAATTTTTGTTGTTCATAAGCCACCCTAGTTTATGGTGGATTTGTTATAGCAGCCTGCACAAACACTAGGAGACATCTGCTCTCTACCCAGGGCTGCTCCCACCCTCCCACCATGGGGCCTTTGCACAAGCTGTTCCCACTCCTGGCTGCTGTTCCCTACATCTCCTCCTCCTGACTCCCTAAGGGCTTCCTTGATCATCCCATTAAAAAGTTGCTTCTGGGCCGGGCGTGGTGGCTCAAGCCTGTAATCCCAGCACTTTGGGAGGCGGAGGCGGGTGGATCACAAGGTCGAGAGTTCGAGACCATCCTGGTCGACATGGTGAAACCCCGTCTCTACTAAAAAATACAAAAAATCAGCTGGGCATGGTGGCACGTGCCTGTAATCCCAGCTACTCAGGAGTCTGAGGCAGGAGAATTGCCTGAACCCAGGAGGCGGAGGTTGCGGTGAGCCGAGATCGCGCCATTGCACTCCAGCCTGGGTAACAAGAGCGAAACTCCGTCTCAAAAAAAAAAAAAAAAAAAAAAAAAAAGTTGCTTCTGGCCAGGCTGGTGGCTCACGCCTGTAATCCCAGCACTTTGGCAGGCTAAGGCGGGCGGATCACAAGGTCAGGAGATCAAGACCAGCCTGGCCAGCCTGGTGAAACCCTGTCCCGCTCTGCTGCCCAGGCTGGAGTGGAGTGGCACAATCACCTGGACTCAAGTGACCCTCCCACCTCAGCCTCTGAAATAGCTGGGAGTACAGGCTGAAGCCACCATGCCTAGCTTATTTTTTAATTTTATTTTATTTTTAGACAGAATCTTGCTCTGATGCCCAGGCTGAAGTGCAGTGGCGTGATCTCGGCTCACTGCAACCTCCACTTCCCAAATTCAAGCGATCCTCCAGCCTCAGCCTCCCAAGTAGCTGGGATTACAGGCAGCTGGCACCATGCCCAGCTAATTTTTTTTTTTTTTTAATTTTTAGTAGAGTCGAGGTTTTACCATGTTGGCCAGGCTGGTCTCAAACTCCTGACCTCAAGTGATCCTCCCACCTCAGCCTCCCAGAGTGCTGGGATTGCGGGCGTGAGCCACCACACCTGGCTGACCCAGCCATTTTAAACTGCACAATTCGGTGGCGTTTCACCACATTCATAATGTTATGCGACCATCACGTCTATCGAATTCCAGAATGTTTCCATCACCCCAAAGAGAGAACCCATCACCGTTAGCAGTGATGACCCCAACTTCGCGTTCTGTCTCTCCCAACTCCTGGCAACGGCTGATCTGCTTTTAGTCTGTATGCATTTGCCTACTTGGGATATTTCTTTCTTTCTTTTTTTTTTTGAGATGAAGTTTCACTTTTGTCACCCAGGCTGGAGTGCTGTGGTACGATCTCAGCTCACTGCAGCCTCAGCCTCCTGAGTAGCTGGGATTACAAGTACCCACCACAATGCCCGGCTGATTTTTTAATTTTTAGTAGAGGTGGGGTTTTGCCATGTTGGCCAGGCTGGTGTCAAACTCCTGACCTCAGGTGATCCACCTGCCTCAGCCTCCCAAAGTGCTTGGTTTACAGGCGTGAGCCACCGTGCCCAGCCTACTTGGGATATTTCATGTAAATGAAACCACACAACACGTGGCCTCTCGGAACTGCCTCCTTTCACTCAACATGACTCCCTCCGGTTTGGTTCCAGTTGTAGCGTGGCTCAGGGCTTCTTCGTGGCTGAATCATAGCCCCCTGTATGAATGAGCCACGTTTCCTTATTCGTTCCTCAGTTCACACTGTACACATGCAAATGTGCAGGGAGGAATTCCCAGAAGCGGACCTGCTATGTCAGCAGGCGCCTGAGTGTGTCGTTCCGGTGGCCTGTGCCAACGTGCCCTCCGGCGAGGCTGCGCCAGGGACACATCCCACAGCCCGCCTGGCACGGAAGATCATTGCACTGCTGGATTTCTGCCAATCTGATCGGTGAAGACAGTTTATGATTTGTAGTTTTCTTGTTAGGAACGAGCTTTTCCTTTTTTTTTTTTTTGAAACAGGTCTTCTGTTGCCCAGGCTGGAATGCAGTGGAGTGATCTCAGTTCACTGCAGCCTCCGCCTCCTGGGTTCAAACGTCTCCTGCCTCAGCCTCCCGAGTAGCTGGTACTACAGGGGTGTGCCACCATGCCCAGCTAAGTTTTGTATTTTTAAAGTAGAGACGGGGTTTCATCATGATGGCCAGGCTGGTCTCGAACTCCTGGGCTCAGGCTATCTCCTCCTTTCGGCCTCCCAAAGTGCTGGGATGTCAGGTGTGAGCCACTGCGCTCGGCAGGAATGAGTGTCTTTGGACATGTAGAAGAGCGGTTTCCGGCTTTTTCTTCAAGGTCTCAGTTCAAAGCCTTTGACCATTTCTTGGAGTGGAGAGATGGGAAGGACAGAGGTGGAGGAGAGGGGAAGTGTGGGGAGCAGACTTCCAGCCCCCAGGTCCCGGAGAAGCCGCTGCACATGTGACAGCTGTGGACACGGAGGCACAGCGCAATTAAGGGGGCACCGTGAGTCGGGCTGGCGGAGGTTGGAACCTGGTCTGCCTGACACCAGGTTCAGGTGAGACCTTCTCCCAGCACCTTCCTCAGTCTCATTTTTGTCACTAATACCCCTCCAGTCTGCCTCAGGCCCCCATCTGCTTCTGGGACCTCAGCCTCCCTCCCATGTTGCCCACCCAGACACCAGGCTCACTCCAGAGGGGGTTCTTCAGCCAGTGCCCCTCTGCCCACACACCAGCTTTGGCTCCATGTGACCCCTTCCCCTGCCACCAATTCCTTCTATCCTCTCCACTCCTTTTATTTTTTTTTTTTAAGATGAGCCAGGCGCGGTGGCTCAAGCCTGTAATCCCAGCACTTTGGGAGGCCGAGGCGGGTGGATCACGAGGTCAAGAGATCGAGACCATCCTGGTCAACATGGTGAAACCCCGTCTCTACTAAAAAAAAAATACAAAAATTAGCTGGGCATGGTGGCGCGTGCCTGTAATCCCAGCTACTCAGGAGGCTGAGGCAGGAGAATTGCTTGAACCCAGGAGGCGGAGGTTGCGGTGAGCCGAGATCGCGCCATTGCACTCCAGCCTGGGTAACAAGAGTGAAACTCTATCTCAAAAAAAAAAAAAAAAAAAAAGATGGGGTTTCGCCATGAGGGCGAGGCTGGTCTTGAACTCCTGACCTCTGGTGATCCACCCACCTCGGCCTCCCAAAGTGCTGGCATTACAGGTGTGAGCCACCGCGCCCGGCCATCGTCTCCACTCCTAACCATGCTATTCCAGGCAGCTACATTTTCCCAAGCTCCTGGGATCCCCCTCATTGTCCCCTCCAGCATAGAGGTGCCATTGTGCAAGAACTCAGTGGGAGAGGCTTGGAGGAGCTTGGAGAGCCAATGACAGGTGTGGGGAAACTTGGAGAACTCCTACTTATGTGTTGAAGCCCCAGCCGTAATGTCTTCTCCTCCAGGGAGCTTCTGGGACACTGTCCTTCCCTCCGGACCTTCGTTGACTGCATGGCACTAGGAGTGTCTGTGTCCAGCTCTGCCCTCTCTTAAGACATTTCTTTGAGGACCTGGCCAGGGCTAGGGCTTCTTGGGGACCCAGCGTGGGTGATGTTTGTTGAATGAATAAGTAACACATGAGCTGGGAGTCAACTGAGCTGAGATCTGGAAGCGAGTTGAGGTGGCAGTCAGCTGGGGTGGCAATAGGGGACATGAAGTCACTGGGCTCTCTCGAGAGGGAAGTGGGACCCTGGGCCGCCCCTCCCCCTCCCTCTCCTGTGAGAACCTTAAGGCCCTGCAAGGGGGCGGGTCTCTGTCTTCATTCTTCCTCTCTCCTCTCCACCCAGACACCAGTTCCTCTTCCCGCTGCTGAGTCGCTGGTGCAGAGCCAGAGGAGCGCCAGGGACCCCAGAAGCGCCGCGGAGGGTGCTGGCCGCTGCACCCGGTATCCAGGTGCGCCAGGTCGCAGCCCCTGGGTGCTGTGGCTTTTCCAGCATCGCCGAGGCAAAAGCGTGGCAGTGGGACCCAAGAGGTAGGCCCGAGGCTCTAGAACTTGCACCTGTGCGGGGACGCCAACCGGAGCTGGGGGGAGCCTTTCAGCAGCCCCCACTCCCCCTATCCCAGGGCTTCCAAGCGACCCCACGTTGTGGGAGAGACTAGGAGCCCGGGATCGGGGGCGGGGCCGTTTCCAAGGCAACCGCTTATTTGCATAGGGTCCCGTCCTGGCCGAAGGGGGCGCCCAAAATGTCCAGGACGTAGCAGAAGGCGTTAACTGGGACCGGGTCTCCTCCTCGCCCTCCAAGCCCGCTAGGCACCGGGGTTACCTATCCATTCCCCAGAAGAGGAAACTGAGGCAGCCGACCAGCCCGAGGAGGCGACCAGACCCGGGCTCCGTTTTACAGTTTCAGGAGCGGCTCGCGCTGGCCTGAGCGATGACAGTGAACTCCGGGGCGGGGAGGGGAGGCGGGGTGGCCGCAGGGCTGAGGTCGGGGCTGGGATTCCGCGTCTCTGTGCAGGTGGCTTGGATGGGGGGCGCCCTGGCCTGGACGCTGCTGCTGCTGCCGCTGCTGCTGCCGCCGGAGTCGGACAGCCGGGACCTGTCGTGCGCCGTGTCCCCCGCGGGTGTGGACTGGAGCACGGAGTTCGGGGACACGTGCCTGAACTTCAGCGGCCTCGGCCTCCGCCTGCCCCAGAACCAGTCTCTGCGCGCCCCTGAGGTGCGTGTCCTGGACCTGTCGGCGAACGGGCTGCGGGAGCTCCCGGCGACCTTCTTCTCCGGCCTGCGCAGCCTTCAGCTCCTGGACGTGCTGCAGAACCCCCTGTCCCACGTGCACGGGGCGCTGGCCGCGCGCTGTGACCTGGACCTGCGGGCCGACTGCGGCTGCGCCCTGGCGCCCTGGCACCGGGTCCGCAGAGACAACTGCTCCGGGCAGGCGCCCCTGCTCTGCTGGGACACCGCCGGCTCCCAGCGCAACCTCTCCGCCTTCCTGGAGGTCAGCTGCGCCCCCGGCCTGGCCCCTGCGGTCATCGCGGCGGCGGCGGCCAGCGGGTGCCTGCTGCTCGGGCTCGCCGTCGCTGGCCCCTTGCTGGCCTGGAGACTCTGGCGGCGCCGCGTGGCCAGAAGCCCGGACGTGGGCAAGCCCTGGGCCGCTCAGGACGGGCCCAAGCCCGGTTCAGGCTGGCAGCCACGGTACAGCAGCCGGAACTCCCGCAAGCCCCAGGTGGTCACCCCACCCCGCCCCTCCACTCCCGACTATGAGAACATGTTTGTGGGCCAGCCAGGAGCCGAGCACCAGTGGGCCGGACAGGGGTAAGTAACCCATGAAGACGCCTGCCAAAGTGACGAATAGCAAAGCTACACACACAGACGACCCGGGTTCAAATCCCGGCTCTGCCGGGGCGCAGTGGCTCATGCCTGTAATCTTAGCACTTTGGGAGGTCGAGGTGAGCTGATCATGAGGTCAGCAGTTCGAGACCAGCCTGGCCAACATAGTAAAACCCCGTCTCTACTAAAAATACGAAAAAAGGAGAAAAATTAGCCAGGCGTGGTGGCATGTGCCTGTAGTCCCATCTACTCTGGAGGCTGAGGCAGGAGAATCGCTTGAACCCTGGAGGCGGAAGTTGCAGTGAGCTGAGATTGTTTCATTGCACTCCAGCCTGGGTGACGGGGTGAGACTCTGTCTCAAAAACAAAAAAACAAAAAAGCAAAAAAAGTCAAACAAATCCCAGCTCTGCCACTTGCAGGCTGTGGGATCTTAGGCAAGTAGCTTTACTTCTCTGAGCCTCGGTCTCCTCATCTATAAAATGGGAGAAGACTGGCTCACATCCGAAATCCCAGCACTTTGGGAGGCCAAGGCAGGCAGATCACTTGAAGTCAGGAGTTCGAGACCAGCCTGGCCAACACAGTGAAAACCCATCTCTACTAAAAATACAAAAATTGCCGGGCGCGGTGGCTCAAGCCTGTAATCCCAGCACTTTGGGAGGCCGAGGCGGGTGGATCACAAGGTCAAGAGATCGAGACCATCTTGGTCAACATGGTGAAACCCCGTCTCTACTAAAAATACAAAAAAAATAGCTGGGCATGGTGGTGCGTGCCTGTAATCCCAGCTACTCAGGAGGCTGAGGCAGGAGAATTGCCTGAACCCAGGAGGCGGAGGTTGCGGTGAGCCGAGATCGTGCCATTGCACTCCAGCCTGGGTAACAAGAGCGAAACTCCGTCTCAAAAAAAAAAAAAAAAAAAAAACAAAAATTGCTGGGCGCGGTGGCTCAAGCCTGTAATCCCAGCACTTTGGGAGGTCGAGGCGGGTGGATCATGAGGTCAAGAGATCAAGACCATCCTGGTCAACATGGTGAAACCCCATCTCTACTAAAAATACAAAAAATTAGCTGGGCATGGTGGCTCGTGCCTGTAATCCCAGCTACTTGGGAGGCTGTGGCAGGAGAATTGCCTAAACCCAGGAGGCGGAGGTTGCGGTGAGCCGAGATCGCGCCATTGCACTCCAGCCTGGGTAACAAGAGCGAAACTCCGTCTCAAAAAAAAAAAAAAAAAAAAAAATTATTCTGTGTAAGTGTGATGGCGGCTGCCTGTGGTCCCAGCTACTGGGGAGGCTGAGGCAGGAGAATCACTTGAACCCGGGAGTCAGAGGTTGCAGTGAGCCGAATTCATGCCATTGCACTCCAGGCTGGGTGACAGAGTGAGACTCCATCTCGAAAATCATGTAAGATAAAATGGGGGGGGGGAGTTACAGCCCCCATCTTAGTGTGTTGGGGTAAGAATTAAGCAAGTTCCCATATATGGCACAGACTTCCCCTTCATGACCTGTAAACCCAGTTTCTGGTCGCCAAGGACGAGGAGAGAAGAAGCGACTGCTTGGGCAGAGTCGGGGCTCTGTGGTGGCTGTCAGCAGCGTGAGCCCAGATTCCGTGTGACCCAGGGCTCTCTGAACCTCCATTTCCATCTCCATAGAATGGGGACAGCCCCCCATGTCCCCATGACATACATGAGATGTTAAAGAGATGCCCTACAGGCCGGGCGTGGTGGCTCAAGCCTGTAATCCCAGCACTTTGGGAGGCCGAGGCGGGTGGATCACAAGGTTGAGAGATCGAGACCAACCTGGTCAACATGGTGAAACCCCGTCTCTACTAAAAATACAAAAAATTAGCTGGGCGTGGTGGCGCGTGCCTGTAATCCCAGCTACTCAGGACGCTGAGGCAGGAGAATTGCCTGAACCCAGGAGGCGGAGGTTGCGGTGAGCCGAGATCGCGCCATTGCACTCCAGCCTGGGTGACAAGAGCGAAACTCTGTCTCAAAAAAAAAAAAAAAAAAAAAAAAAAAAAAAAGATGCCCTACAAAATCCCAACACCTCTAGACCTCTAGATGACTTTCTTCTTGTTTTTTTTTTTTTTTTTGGAGATAGTCTCACTATCACTCAGGCTGGAGTGCAGTGGTGCGATCACAGATCATTGCAGCCTCAAACTCCTGGCCTCAAGTGATCCTCCTGCCTCAGCCTCCTGAGTAGCTGGGACCACAGGCAGGTGCCACCATGCTCAGCTAATGTTTTTTTTTTTTTTTTTTTTTTTTTTTTTTTTTTTTTTTTTTTTTGAAAAGGAGTCTTGCTCTTCTTGCCCAGGCTGGAGTGCAGTGTGGCATGATCTCAGCTCACTGCAACCTCCACCTCCCAGGTTCAAGTGATTCTCCTGCCTCAGCCTCCCGAGTAGCTGGGACTACAGATGTGCGCCACCATGCCCAGCTAATTTTAAAAATACTTTTAGTAGAGGCGGGGTTTCACCATGTTAGCCAAGATGGTCTCGATCTCCTGACCTCATGATCCACTCGCCTCAGCTTCCCAAAGTGCTAGGATTACAGGTATGAGCCACCACGCCCGGCCTAATTTTGGTATTTTTTGTAAAGACGGGGATCTTGCTATGTTTCTCAGGCTGGTCTCAAACTCTTGGCCTCAAGCGATCCTCATGTCACAGCCTCCCAAAGTGCCGGGATTATGGGTGTGAGCCACTGCGGCCAGCCTCTAGATGATTTTGCTGGGCTTAGACAAATGAGTTGAACTTTTCTAGGTTGGGGGTGGGTGTGGTGACTCACACATGTAATCCTAGCACTTTGGGAGGCCAAGGCGTGCAGAGCATCTGTGGTCAGGAGTTCAAGACCAGCCTGACCAACATGGTGAAACCCTGTCTCTACCAAAAATACAAAAATTAGCCAGGTGTGGTGGTAGGCACCTGTAATCTCAGCTACTCAGAAGGCTGAGGCAGGAAGAATCACCTGAATCCAGGAGGTGGAGGTGGCAGTGAGCTGAGATGGCGCCACTGTACTCCAGCCTGGGTGACAGAGTGAGACTCTGTCTCAAAAAAAAAAAGGAAAAAAAAAAAAAAAAAGATTCTGTGGGTTGGAAAAGGGAGTGGAGGGAATTTCAAGGGGTGGGAACCCCCCTCAGGTGCAGAGACCCAGAGATGGAAAAGAATTTGCTGTGAATGGTTCTTGAGAGGGGTGACTTGCAAGCCAAGGTGTTGGGGGAGCAGGGAAGACCGAGCCAGATGGGGCCACGTCATGGGTCAAGGCCGTGTTTGGACAGCAGAGTTCATGACAGGAGGCAGGGAGGCTACCGGGAGACCACTGCTGGGAAAGGGGGGTATGCAAAGCAGGTGTAGAAATGGCTCAAAAGCAGAAGTGGTCTGCAGCAGGGTGTTGAAGACGCGGCGCACAAAGGCAGCTTCTGTGCTGATGCTCACTGCGGCCTCCCTGTCCCTGAGGTCACCAGATCAGCCTCCTTTAAATCCCTTTTCTCCAGAAGCACTGTGTTTAGAATCGAATGTGTCATTTCTACCCTACATTTTTTTTTTCAAGGCAGGGTTTCACCATGTTGGTCATGCTGGCCTCAAACTTCTGACCTCAGGTGATCCGCCCACCTCAGCCTCCCAAAGTGTTGGGATTACAGGTGTGAGCCACCATGCCTGGCCGACGGTTTTTTTTTTTTTTTTTTGAGACAGAGTCTCACTCTGTCTCAAATTCCTACTAGAGGGTAAATGACTGATAGATGCTGCTTACCCAGAGTGGCCCTTTTGCCGCCCCCCCTTTTTTTTTTGAGATGGAGTCTTGCTCTGTTGCCCAGGCTGGAGTGCAGTGGCATCATCTCAGCTCACTGAAACTTCTACCTCCTAGGTTCAAGTGATTCTCCTGCCTCAACCTCCCAAGTAGCTGGGATTACAGACACCTGACACCATGCCCAGCTAATTTTTTTTTTTTTTTTTTTTTTGAGACGGAGTTTCGCTCTTGTTACCCAGGCTGGAGTGCAATGGCGCGATCTCGGCTTACCGCAACCTCCGCCTCCTGGGTTCAGGCAATTCTCCTGCCTCAGCCTCCTGAGTAGCTGGGATTACAGGCACGCGCCACCATGCCCAGCTAATTTTTTTATATTTTTAGTAGAGACGGGGTTTCACCATGTTGACCAGGATGGTCTTGATCTCTTGACCTCGTGATCCACCCGCCTCGGCCTCCCAAAGTGCTGGGATTACAGGCTTGAGCCACCACGCCCGGCCTAATTTTTGTATTTTTAGTAAAGACAGGGTCTCACCATATTGGCTAGGATGGTCTCGATCTCCTGACCTCATGATCCACCCACCTTGGCCTCCCAAAGTGCTGGGATTTGGGCGTGAGCCATCGTACCTGGCCCACTGGCCCTTTTTACAAGAGGAGCTGGGGTGGAGTTAGAATATTCAGGAGGCAGCCTGGCGTGGCAGCTCACACCTGTAATCCCAGCACTTTGGGAGGCGGAGGAGCGCAGATCATGAGGTCAGGAGTTCGAGACCAGCCTGGCCAACACACAGTGAAACCCCGCCTCTGCTAAAAATACAAAAATTAGCCGGGCATGGTGGCCTGCACCTGTAATCCCAGCTACTTGGGAGGCTGAGGTAGGAGAATTGCTTAAACCTGGGAGGCGGCGGTTGCGGTGAGCCGAGATCCCACCACTGCACTCCAGCCTGGGGAACAGAGCGAGGCTCCGTCTCAAAAAAAGAAAAAGGAAAGAAAAAAGAATGTTCAGGAGGCAGGAAAGTCCTTCTCTGGGGGTTTTGCTGATCTTAACAAATATTCCTAAGCGACTCCCTGTTGATCTTAACAAATATTCCTAAGTCACTCCCTAAGTGACCAATTTTGTGGATGCACAAACTGAGGCTCCGAGACTTACCTTTATATATGAGGGCCGCAGTCAGTTGCTTCGGTGGTGAAAACGTTTCCCATCTGAAGGAGCAGACAGCGTGCTGCAGCCTCTTGTGACCATGTGACCGACGTGGCCAGAGCTTCCGATTTTTCAAGAGGAAATGAACATTTAGATTTTAGTGTAATAATGAACAGCTACCTCAATTTTTGTTTTTTTGAGACGGGGTCTCCCTCTGTCACCCAGGCTGGAGTGCAGTGGTGTGATCACAGCTCACTGCCACCTCCACCTCCTGCGCTCTAGCGATTCTCCCGCCTCAGCCTCCCGAGTAGCCGGGACTCCAGGCGCACGCCACCACACCTGGATAATGCTTTTATTTTTTGTAGAGACGAGGGGTCTCACCATGTTGCCCAGGCTGGTCTCAAACTCCTGGCCTCAGGGGGTCCTCCTGCCTCAGCCTGCCAAAGTGCTGGGATTATAAGCGTGACTCACTGTGCCTGGCCGCTATCTCATGTTTAAGGAAGGAAAAGGGGTTCAGGGTCCTCTGACCGCAGCGTTAATCCCCAGAATCTTCCCTAAATCACTCCCCTCCCCCAGCTTCCTCAGGGGTGGGGTTGGCTGGGAGTCAGAACACTACCCCATGCCTCAGTTTCCCCTATGTATTCGGGGTGGACTCAGCCATTCTGAAACTTTTTTTTTCCTTCGGAGACAGAGTCTTGCTCTGTCACCCAGGCTCGGGTACAGTGGCGCAATCTCAGCTCACCACAACCTCTACCTCCTGGGTTCAAGCGTGCCGCCATGCCTGGCTAATTTTTGTATTTTTGGTAAAGACAGGGTTTCAGATGGGCGCTGGTGGCTCACGCTTGTAATCTCAGCGCTTTGAGAGGCCGAGGCGGGTGGATCACAAGGTCAGAAGTTCAAGAGCAGCCTGGCCAAGATGGCAAAACCCCCTCTCTACTAAAAATACAAAACTTAGCCAGGCATGGTGGTGCCTGCCTGTAATCCCAGCTACTCGGGAGGCTGAGGCAGGAGAATCGCTTGAACCTGGGAGGCGGAGGTTGCAGTGAGCCGAGATCGTGCCACTGTGCCCCAGCCTGGGCGACAGAGCAAGACTTTGTTTAAAAAAAAAAAAAAAAAAAGAAAGAGAGACAGGGTTTCACCAGGCTGATCTCAAACTCCTGACCTCAGGTAACTCCTGACCTCAGGTGATACCTACCTCAGCCTCCCAAAGTGCAGGTGTGAGCCACGGGACCTGGCCCCCTCTGAACTTTCTCGAAGCTCAGGTGCCTGCCCCGAGTCCTCCTCCTTCCCCACCTACCCTTGGTCTGTCTGTCCCCACAGGGCTCACCCTTCAGAGGACAGTGACTTTTACATGAACTACGAGGACGTCAACCTGGCCTCCCAGCCTGTCTACTGCAACCTGCAGTCCCTGGGCCGGGCCCCAGTCGATGACGAGGAGTACGTGATCCCCGGGCGCTGAGCCCACATTGTCCCAGCCTCCACCCAGACCCGCTCCAGTCCTTGCCGGGTGACTCAGGGCATTCCACCCCCTCTCTGGCCTCAGTTTCCCCATCTGAAGAATGAGGACAGGAAAGGACTATCTTTGAGGCCCCAGGGGGACTCTGCCACTCCCTCCCCATCCCCCACGCCACTCCTCAGCGCCCTCGGCTCCTAGAGGAGGAGGAGAGACCCCCAACAAGGGGACAGGAGGGTCACTGCGCGAACCCTGTCGTCAGCCTCCTGTGGCTGTGCCGGCCGTGCTCAATAAATGCTTTGAGGCTGGTGAGGCTGTTGGCTCAGGGTGAGCCGGTTCCTCAAGGTGAGGATTTGTGAGCTCCAAGACCAAGTCTCTCTCCGAGACTCCCAAATTACTCCCCACCCCATCCCTCTTTTTTTTTTTTCCTGAGACAGAATCTCACTGCGTCACCCAGGCTGGAGTGCAGTGGTGCAATCCTGGCTCACTGCGACCTCTGCCTCCTGGGTTCAAGCGATTCTCCAGCTGGGATTACAGCGCCCACCACTCTACCTGGCGAATTTTTTTTTTTTTTTTTTTTTTTTTTAGTAGAGACGGCGTTTCACCATGTTGGCCAGGCTGGCCTTAAACTCCTGACCTCAGACGATCCACCTGCCTCAGTCTCCCAAAATGCGGGGACTACAGGTGTGAGCCACCGCGCCCGGCCTCTTTCCCTCCCTCCCTCCCTCCCTCCCTCCCTCCCTTCCTCCCTCCCTCCCTCCCTCCCTTCCTTACCTTCTTCCTTCCCCTTTCTTTCTTTCTTCTTTTTCCTCTCTTTTTGAGACGGAGGCTTGCTCTCGCCTCCCCGGTCGCAGCGCGGTGGCGTGCTCTCAGCTCCCCGCCTCCTCCACCTCCCAGGTTCAAGCAATTCTCCCGCCTCAGCGTACTGAGTAGCTGGGATTCCAGGCACCTGCCAGCACACACAGCTCATTCTTGTACTTTCAGTAAAGACGGCGTTTCACCATGTTGGTCAGGCTGGTCTCGAACTCCTGACCTCAGACGATCCACCTGCCTCAGTCTCCCAAAATGCGGGGACTACAGGTGTGAGCCACCGCGCCCGGTCTCTTTCCTTCCTTCCTCCTCCCTTTCTTCCCTTTCTTTCTTTCCTTCCTGCTTGCTTGCTTTCTTGCTTGCTGTTCCTTTCTTTCTTCAGTGTAAACCACCATGCCTGGACCTTCCCCCGCCCCGTCCGTCCCTCCCTCCCTCCCTCCCTCCCTCCCTTCCTTACCTTCTTCCTTCCCCTTTCTTTCTTTCTTCTTTTTCCTCTCTTTTTGAGACGGAGGCTTGCTCTCGCCTCCCAGGTCGCAGCGCGGTGGCGTGCTCTCAGCTCCCCGCCTCCTCCACCTCCCAGGTTCAAGCAATTCTCCCGCCTCAGCGTACTGAGTAGCTGGGATTCCAGGCACCTGCCAGCACACACAGCTCATTCTTGTACTTTCAGTAAAGACGGCGTTTCACCATGTTGGTCAGGCTGGTCTCGAACTCCTGACCTCAAGTGATCCGCCCACCTTGGCCTCCCAAAGTGCTGGGATTACAGGTGTCAGCTACCGCGCCCGGCCCCGTTTTATATCTATATATATATCTTTAGCTTTAATATTTTGAGAAAGTTCTTCAAGGCCCTGGTGCAATGCCACCTCCTCGGAGAAGCCGTCCCTGGTTTCCTCTCAGGCAGAGTGAATGACTCCCAGACGTCATTAACTTGCGTCTTACAACGCATGAATCAGACCTTGCCCCTCCCCTGCTTCCACATCCTCCATGGCGCCCTATTGCCCCGGACCCTCAGCCTGGCGTTGGGGGCCTGTGTGATCCAGCCCCGCCCACCTCATGGCCCTTTCCTGTGCTGCTCCCCTGAGCCCCCTCCCCACCACACCACCTCCCTCCAGCAGACTTCCTTGTCCTGCACCAGCCCTTTCACCCAGAATGCCACCCGCCTGCACCTTTTCTCACTCTGAAGCTTCTTCCTTCAAGACGTGGGGTCTCACTCTGTTGCCCGGGCTGGACTGCAGTGGCACTGTCATGGCTCACTGCAGCCTCCAACTCCTGGCCCCTCACTCAGCCAAGCTTCGAAACATGGGGTGGTTCCGGTGTGTCTTCTCACTGCTGTGCCCAGGGCAAAAGGGGCACCTGCAGTCATTCAGCGTGGCCTCTAGGTGGTGGCATTACCAGCATATACACCTCACTGCTGGAATTGGGTACTCTGTCCCCCAAGACACCCATCACTGTTCCTCTCAGACTTAGGGTGGACAGGCAGTTTGGTGTGGGGAGGGGGCTGAACTCAGCACACCTTGGAATTCCAAGATCCTAAACAGGAAGTATATGTAACCTGGGAGACGTGTTGTGTATGAAAATATTCTCCACAACTTATTTGTTTCTCCCTGCTCTTTATATATGAAAGAATGAGGTGTCACGAACATGAAATATGAAAGAATGAGGCGGCGTCTCGGTCCGCACGGCCCCAGTTGGAGCTGCACTTGCGGGCGCGCGCCGCCAGGGGTCACTAACATGAAAGTGCCACACACAGGAGGGACGATGAACTCACCCCTCAGGCTGGGGACAGTGCTGCAAAACAAGGCACTTGGTGGCAGGTAGACTTGGCTGTGAGCTGCCTGTATGGAAAGGTGACTCCCATGTGGGAAGATAGAACAGGACGGTGATAGAGACAGAGACAGATACCTCTGCCTCGGCCCCTAAAAAGGGAAGTTCTGAGGAAGGAGGAAAGATGGAGGGATGGAGGGAAGCTGAAGTCAGGTCTCAGCTGTTTCAGAAACAGAAACACCAGCCTGGGCAACATGGAGAAACCCTGTGTCTACAAAAAATACAGAAATTCCCCGGGCGTGGTGGCCGGTGCCTGTAGTCCCAGCTACTCAGGTGGCTGAGGTGGGAGGATCGATCGAGCCCGGGAGGTTGAGGCTGCAGTGAGCCGTGATTGTGCCAGTGCACGCCGGCCTGGGAACAGAGTCTAAAAAAAACCCCACAAAAACCAGAAATAAAAAAGAAACAGAAGCAGGGAGATGGAGAAATAGAGACAGGGTCGGGAATGCCCAAGGCGGCTCTTGGAGCTCACAGGTGTCCTGGCATCCCCGAGAACACCTTCCCACTCATGCCTTGAGCCTCTCCACTCACCCCATCCCGGGTCCCCTGGAGAAACTGAGGCCCGGGAGAGGAGGATCTTCCCAAGGTCACCTTCCCTTATCCTGGACACCACAGGGAACGGTTCAGCTTTATTTTTATCACCAGAGTTTTAAATAAATACACAGTTCCATCAAACCAGCCCCCCAGTCCCCAGGAAGATCACCCCAAATAAATTAATAATAAATAGCAGACTTATATAAATACAAATGCTTGGGCGGGAATCGGGTGTCCCAGGACCCCTGAGCCCATTCCACAGGCCGGGACCACCGAGGCTGCGCCCCCCGCAGCCACAGGGCTGCTCACGCGCAGTGGCAGTCTCTGGCTAAGAGGTCGTCGTAGGTCTGGAGCGACACCCCGCTGTCCGTCTTCTGCAGGAGCACCATGGGACTGTAGCTGGCGGGCACGCAGCAGGGCGCGGGCACCGCGTCGGGCTTCAGGCGGTGCAGGCTCGTCTTGATCTGCGCGTGCACGTTGGCCGCCCGGAACTGGCTCGGGCACGCGCCGATGCACACGCTCACTTGCACCTCCCGCGGCGACAGCACCCAGTCGGCCCAGCCCAGGTCTTCCAGCGACGCGCGGACCGTGTGCAGCCGGCAGCAGCGCCCGGGCCCGAGCGGACAGTGGTCCCCGCCGCGCGCACGCGCTCTGCGGCGCCCCCTGGCGGCGCGCGCCCGCAAGTGCAGCTCCAACTGGGGCCGTGCGGACCGAGACGCCGCCTGCAGCTGGTCCCACGGCGGCGGCGGCGGCGACAGTCGCAGGTGCAGCGCTGGCGCCTGGGGTCTTGCAAGTCTGAGCTGGCGCCGCAGCGGGCGCGTCACGTCCCACGACCTTGAAGTCGTCGGGGACAGCCGGAACAGAGCCCGGTGAAGCCGGGAGGCCTCGGGGAGCCCCTCGGGCAGGGCGGCCCGGGGGATGCGCAGCTGCAGGTGGCCGCCAGACCCCAGGCGCACTGTGGGAAGACAGAGGAGCTGGTCACCCGCAGGTCAGGCTGGATCCCACCACGGCGCCTTTGCACAAGTTATTTCCCCTACGAAGAGCGTTTTTCCCCGCCGGGCGCGGTGGCTCACGCCTGTGATCCCAGCACTTTGGGAGGCCGATGAGGGCGGATGACTTGAGGTCAGGAGTTCAAAACCAGCCTGGCCAATGTGGTGACACCCGGCTTCTACTAAAAATAGCGACCAATTAGCCGGGCGTGGTGGCTGGCGCCTGTGATCTCAGCCACTCGGGAGGTTGAGGCAGGAGAATCGCATGAACGCGGGCGGCGTAGGTTGCAGTGAGCTGAGATCGCGCCACTGCACTCCAGTCTGGGTAACAGAGGAAGACTCCCTCTTGGTGGAAAAAAAAAAAAAAAAAAAAAAAGCATTTCTCCTCCTGAGGCTCAGCACAGCTGGCTCCTCTCCCTTCCAGCCTGCCTAAAATTGGAAGCACCCTGTTTTATTTTGTTGTGAATCATTCATATTCCCTACTTAGACTCAGCTTCTGGCACACAATAGATGCTTAGTAAATACTTGAAGGAATTAATGTATATCTGATATTTAGACCGCCTGAGATTCCAGCCACGGACTGCTTTTCTTCTGGCAGTCAAAAGCTCACTTACTTCACTTATTTATGTATTAATTATGGCCTTGCTGTTACCCAGGCTGGAGTGCAGTGGCGCGCTCATGGCTCAGTGCAGCCTCGGTCTCCTGTGATCCTCCTGCCTCAGCCTCCTGAATAACTGAGACTACAGGTATGCACTATCACCTCCGACTAATTTTTTTAAGCTTTTTTTTTTTTTTTTAATTAGAGATGGGGTCTCACTATATTGCCCAGGCTGGTCTCAATGTCCCGGCCTCCAGCGATGCTCCCACCTTGGTCTCCCCAAGTGCTGGGATTACAGGCGTATCCTGAGAAATGAAGAGTACCAAGCCCATCCCATTCCAGACTACCAGGCCTCTAAGAATCATAGCCCCTCAGGCTGGTACAAGTCAGGGAGACTGGGGGTTTAAGGGTGCCCTAAGCTAGTTGCTAGGCCTAGCAAGGGTGAGAGGTTTGCCTGGAGTCACACAGCACAGATGGGTTTAGGGCAGGCTAAGAGGGCACCCCTCTACCTGACCTCCTTCTGGGTCCCAGCACAGCCCAGACCTCATCCAGTACCCTGCACCCCTGGAGCCTCTGCGGAAGGTACAGAGATGGGGGAAATAGTCTCCTCCTCCTTA